TATACCGTGGTAAGTATACTCATGGCTTTTTCTTTAAAACTCTGCTTAAAGAAATTGTGTTTATGGGACTATTTCTGCTTGCTATCAGGCAGGCAGGCACATGATAAATATTTAAGACCAAAAAGTTAAACTTCAGTGGCATCCCAGACCTTCACTAACCATGAACAAGCTAGAGCTAAATTTGGGAGTAAGGAAAATAAACGTTTGCTGGACTAAAGAACTGTTGTGCATTTACATTGGGGTGTCCCCAGCCTTGTTGATTAAATGGGGTGTGGCTAGCCCTTAAAATTGAACCCCTGAGCACCACCAAGCTAGGCTTACTGCAGCACCCCGCAAGTGCACAACAGTGTCTGTGTTGTACACAGGATGTTTTTCCTGGGACACTATAAAGTATTTACTGTGTTAAAAATAAATGCCACAAGCTGATCTATCCATAAGCTTATTTGGTGATTCAAGTTGCAGACTGATACTCTGTAACAAAGCTGATCTGAATTTGAATCCTTACCTTCATCGTGCCCGTTGGGCTTTTCCATTCACCTAACTGCTGGAGAGCTGGGAGGACAGTAGCCTTTCTCCATCGCATCTGTTGCCTAAGGCCCAAGGAGCCCTAAAAAGCAACCCATGCCAAACAAACGTGCATTCAACAAACACTTCATGGGAAGGGTACAGGAGGACGTGGAGTAGAAGGCCGCCGGGATGGACGGGATGTGTCCTCAGGTCGGGACTGCACCCTTCATCCCCCAAGCCTTTGGGCAGAGCCTCTCCTCCCAGCGGTCTTCCTTGCCCCTGTGTGATGACTGCCGTCCTGTCACAGATGCACGAGAGGCGAAAGGGAAGCCACACGTACATAGGCCTGAAAGTCGCGCCTGTAGCAACTTAAACATGGTTTCCAAATACCCAATCGATGAAGCCGGACAGAAGCGTGACTGCTTGCACGCTCTCCTTCCGCTTCTCCCACCATCACAACAAAGAGGCCCCCCACCATCATTTAGTAGATTTCGATTTTTCCTTGATGGTTGTTGAGGAGAGAAATGAAAGTGACTAGAAAATAAAATCAGTAACATTTGAAACATCAGCTTCCAAATTTTTACTTGGTGATTGCATATATTCAGATAGTATCTAGCCTTTGGGGGGGGGTCTGTGTCAGTAATTACATAAACGGGCTCTTAGGGCTGTGCTCACTGCTCAGTCATTAGAAAAAAAAGATTCAAACATTTTTACCTACAGAATGACTCAGACACATGAATATACCAGTGTACAGTGAGAAAATAACATTCACCTGCCTGACCTTGCATGAACTAAACTAGTCATGTATCAAAGGCTCTGTTTCCTAAGCCTTCTGGGCAATTGAATTTTGTCAATGTGAATTTGTGACTTGGGGCTGGGCCTCGGGGCGGTCACTTCCTACTCTCCACTCCTGACGGATGGTCATCTGGCTTCATACCAGGCCATTGTTCGGCAGCTCCCGTTCGTTGCCAGAAAGTTCTGTGTAAAATTGTCCTGAAGTCTGTCGCTTTGTCATTTCTATTCCAAGATACTAGCTCTGTCTTCACAGCCTCGTGGATTAGTCTACTTCCTCTGCATCTGACAATCTTTCAATCATTTGAGGAAAGCTACCCTACCTCCCATGCTCAGCCCACTCTTTCTGAATGTTTTAAACTGTAAGTTAGCTCAGGGTGCTGTGCTATTCTTGACAGTCGCCCCCTGCCCCCCCCCACGTCCTCCCGTCTGGCTGGTAAGTTCAGTCCACCTGAAGTTCCTTAAACATACTGTCTTCCTCACACCTCCAGAGCTCAGGCAGCCACAGAGAGATGTAAAAGGTCGTTTCTGATCAAGTTCTAATAGCTGAAAAAGCCGTAAACGAGAATGTTTATTTTTGACCAATTGCCTTTCCAACCCATTAGTCGTCTTAGTTGTCGTGACTGCACACGAGGTCCCCCCCTCTTTGATGACAACAACTCCTGCTGCCCACCGTCCGGTGCACCTGAACCCGGGCCCCCCCCCAAGAGGCCCCCCACCCGCTGCCGCCTCTGGGCCAGGCCGCTCTTGTCTCCATTGCTCACATCACCCCGTCTGCTCGCAGGTGGGCTCCTCTCCCCGGAGCGCCTTTCGAGCAGGAAATAAATCGTGCCTTTCTGCATTCTTAGCAAAATGACAAGAGCAGACAATGCTGCTTTTTTTCTTGCGGAATGCAGGGTAAGATGAAAGGATGTGGACTTGAATTCCTTGGGATGACAGGAACCATCCAAAGGCGGCTTCAGTCCAGTGTTTTAACGTGTATTCTAGCGCCATCTAGAGCCGGGAAACAAAATAGCACAGTGCTAACGGCAACACCTGCACACGCCCTGCCCTTTGCACGTGCGCTGTTCCTGGTGATTCTCGTTGTGTGGCCTCAAGAAAGCCCCTGGGTGTTTTCGCACTCAGAACAAAATAAGCAATTATGTTTCTGCCTCAAACACTTTATGGAAATAGTGGGAGAATCGCAGGTGGGTTTTAAGGCTTGATGTTGCCTGGACCACAGACCTCCTGACCTTCGGCCCTCCAGGGTGGATTAATCTAACTGTGTATGTGCCCTACCTACCGTACGAACCGACTCCGGAGAAAGTTGGGTCTTGGGAACAAATAAATTTCTTTCTGATCTAAACCAAGACTACGCAATTCCATGTAAAAGAGCTAAGTCCTTTCTTCTGTCAACGAGCCAGCGGTGTGAGGGCAGCGCAGGCCGAACCCTGCGGGTGACCCGCGGCCCCCGCCCCCGCCGACACTGCCCACGCTGTCTGTGCCAAGGCCAGATGCCCTGTCCCTTTCTCCCGCCTGCGGAAGGAGAGTGGGGAATACCTCTGTCACCTGCCTGCCTGCCTGCGCAGGGCGGAAACAATGGGACATTCTACAAACTATAAAAATAATCAGCCACTTGACTCAATTACTAAGAAATAATGAGCAAAAAGGCTCCTTGTTTCATCTCCAATTAGCTGGCCATAGAAAAACCTGGGTTGCCACACGATCTTAATTTATAATTAAGCGAAGGTGGGAAGCAAAGCGTTCCCTCTCCTGGGTCAACACTTAATGTCCCTCATGCAACGTGAGCATTTTGCTGCCAACATTTGTGGTTGTAGGTAGACGCCTAGAGACTGAACACTGGAGAGAGAAACTCGGGAAACCCTGTCGCCACCTGGCTCCAGGTTAAGCTCAGGTGTGCTAATCGGGGGGCCCTCGGAGCACGCTGGGCTCATGGCAACGTCATGGTACCAAGTGCTTGCATTTCCAGTGTCTGAGCAGTGTCAACGGAAACAAAAGAAAAATGTATGTGCCCGAACATTTTCCAGGCACCGCCTAACTTCATTCTCACGATTCCGTCAGGTGAGTGTTGTCACCTTCCTCATTTTAGAACGTAAGCAGTGAGGGGTGCTCAGAGTTCGTCTCCCGAGAGCAGTGGAGTCCGGTTCCACCACACTGGGGTTCTCTCTGGAAATGGAAACAGAATGAGTTTTCACAGACAGGAAACTTAGAGATGCTTAGCTTTTCTTCCTGTGACACATGGCGAAGGCTGAGGACAGAGCAGACGTGGCAGGCACGTGTGCACCTGTATTTTCCTCCTCCCTGCTAACTGGTCTGGGGCAGTGGCTGGGCCTCAGGTGGCCTCAGCTCCCTACTAGGAAACTTGTGGATAAAAATACTGCAGTGACCGCATGATCGCTGAGTGACTGGCGCCTGCGACGTGCTAGGGTCAGGTGCAGCTGGGTGGCTCGTGCACTGCACACCTCACACATCTACCATGTCAACCAAAGGCCAGTTACCGTTTTTGCTCCCTGAGCTTTGGAGAATAATGAAAGAGTTCAAGGATATTTTGAGTTTTTCAAATCATAAAAAAAGTGTTTTATTTGAAAAGGTAAAAGAAGCAAGCCGACCTAGGTAGGACTCCCTGCTGAAGAAGAGAGAGGCATAAGAGAGGGAGGGGTCGGAGGGAGCGCCTGTGATGTGACGCAGCTGCGCGTCCTGGTTGCCAGGCAGCCGAGGAACGCAGTGGGGGCGGGACTTGGAGTGCGTGTCTGTCTCCTCAGTAACTCGCAGCCCCAGCCAGGAGCTGGGTGGGAGGAGGTGATGGCTGGGGATCCGCAGCCCGAGCGTAAGTGCACGCCGAGTGCTCTGTGTTTTCTGCGGGGTGTTTGTTTGGCGTTTGCCTGGGAGCTCAGCGTCTTGGAACTCAAGTGTGGAAAATGGAGACGTTTCTGGCGGCTACAACTCAGCGCCCAGATCACCGGGGTTTAGGATTGGATTTGCGGATGAGTTGCCTACTCAGAATTACCTGAAAGCAGGCAAAGTAAACAGGTCGTGTGTGTGTGTGTGTGTGTGTGTGTGTGTGTGTGTGTGTGTGTGTGTGTCTGTGTGTGTCTGTGTCTGTGTCGGTCCTCTGGGCGGAGCAGGGAGGAAGAGGAGGCTTTCTAGATTCTGTTCCTGCGTTCTTTTAAAAGGTGACACTGCGGGACAGTTTCTCTGGCACATACCTCACGAAGCCACCACGAGCTGCCTGGACTCCTCTGAGTCCCCGTTCCCCTGCGGACTGCGGTTATTGTTGTGATAGTACGAACGGGCGAAAGGGGTACTTCGCCCGGGGCTTTTGACTCGAAGCCACTGCTCTCCCACCGCACAGCGCGCCTAGAAGTGGGGTTGACAATGCAGGTGGATTCGGGGTTGAGAGAAAACTTGTTGGGTCGAGCAAAAACAGTCTGAGTTATAAAATATTTAAAAAGAAATTTTACTTGATTACTTCCAGCTGCATTCAGTGCCCTTCTCGGTGAATGGGCAGCTGAGAGGGGCACCCTAGAGGCAACAGGCCACCTGGCCGTGTGTCCTTCCTGTGTGCCTCAGTTACCGCATCTGTAACGTGAGGGTAGTCACAGGGCCTCCCTCCTGTAAGTTCTTAGACTATTTTTTCTGTTCCTCGTGCAATTACTCAACATGCTAATTGTGTTAATAAACCCTTTTCTTTATAAAGAATGTAATGATAAAGTCAGTCTGGGCAAGTGGTGTTAGCACTGGGGGTGGAAAGCATGTCTAACTGCTGTTGTAGCGTTTCCCAAGCTCTCCTCTGCTTCCCTTCCATGAGGTGAGGCCTGGCCGGGCTACGCTGTGCCCAGTATTCAGACAGTTCTGCACAAAACACGAGTTTCTATATGTACCATGGGGGGTTCATATTTTCCCTTTGGGGGTGGGAACTGACAGGCGTGGTCTTGAAGTTTAGAACCCTTGAGCCTATTTTGCCTCGTTTGCATGAAAAGTACTCAGCGCTGCAGAGCTGCCTTGTAGCATTGAATCAGGAAGTGTCTGCATTTCACATGCGAAAGTACCTGGTAGTTGGAAGTAGAAATGTGTCTCATCATATTTCGGTATTTCTTATCAGTACATATTCTGTGCATTAACAAGTAGGAGGAAAAAGTAGTTGCCAGACAAGTCCCTGAAAATGAACGGGGTGAAATGGACAAGCCCAAGGTGAGCAGGGCTGAGGCGCCAGCACCAGCCTCCCAGCGCACAGCTGTGGGAGCTGGGAGGGCTTCCAGCCTCTCGGGGTTACCCTTTCTTTAATCTGCACGTAAAGATGCTGAAGCCTCCAGACCCCAGGATGTTGGGAGGTGTCACTGCTGTCTTCCATCTGGGGCCCCTGGGGGAGGGCAGTGATGTACTCCGGGTGATCATCTGTCACCTCTCATTGCAATGCCTGCTCTTGTAAAAGTGACAATTTCATTGCGTGATGTTACTGACCCTTTTGCAGGCCACTAGCATCCCCTGTTGTTACCGCCACATCCGTCCAATCATGGGTACAGCTGAGCCTGCATTCCACGTGCCATCCGATGTATCAGTTTTCTGCTGCTGCTGCACCGGATGACCAGACTGTGACGTAAAGCAGCGCACACTTGCGATCTCTATTGCATTGGGCAGAAGTTTGAGGGAGCTGGGCTGGGCCCCGCTCGGCCTCCCTCTCGGGGCTGAAAGCAGGTGCCGGCCGCGCTGCCCTCCTTTCTTCCTCTGCGGAACAGGCTCCTTCAGGACCAGCCAGGCTGTTGGCAGAACCCAGTCCTTGTGGGCGTGGGACCGAGGCCTCGTCCCCTTGCTGGCTGTCAGCCCCCGTCCCTGCTCATGGCCCTCCATCTGAGAGTCCCCAGTGACAACGCAGTCTTGTCACACTTGTTTCTCTGACTTCCCTCCAGCCACCCTCCCTTCTGACCCAGCCAGAGAAGGTTCTCTGCTCCTAGGGGCTCATGGGATTAGGCTGGGCCCACCCAGGACATCCAGGAAAATCTCTTTATTTTAAGGTTGTAAACTTACTTAAATCTGCAAATGCCCTTTGCCGGGACCGTGGGGATAGGTGGACAGCTGCCAGGCTCCGTCAGTGTGCCCTCCACCCCAGGCGCCGGCAGGAAGGTGGTGAGCGGAGATCTGCCTTCTCGCTCACAGCACTGGGTGCTCCACGCGCTCTGCTCTCTGTCTTATCACTGGGACCATGTCTTGTTCCCTGGGGGACTGAGGACACCTGGGGGGGCATTCACTTCATCCCCTGGCAGAGAGCACGGTGTGTGATACCGAGTAAAATTCCATATTACTACATAAAATTCTAAAAGCATTACTTTTCCACATTTATTCATAAAGCAAAGTTACTCTTTTTTCCTTCAAAAGATGCTAGTGTGAATAAGACAGGTCCTTCCATTGAGGAAATGTGACTCAGAGTGAAAGAGTGTCACAGGTCATGGTCATGTGCCTTCAGGGAACCGTCCCATGCCATCTGGGGGGTGCAGGAAACAAAGATGGCCACCTTGAGAAGAGTTGAAGGTGGTCCAGGTGGGTGGAATGGCCAAAAAGCCAGAGGCAGGAGGTCCGGACAGGCAGAAGGACACCCCTTGTGGATTCTGTTAGGAGTTCTGGGGGGCATAGGCCCTTGGCCTGGCACCCCACCGGCCCAGCCTGCTCCTGGAGGCGCTCAGGCTCTCCTCTGGCCACGCCTGCCCCCCCGCCACACACACACACAGGGCAGTGCATCTGTGGGACCAGGAACCTGCCTGCTCTTTGCTTTGCATTTCGTCAGTAACATATTCCCCAGGATGTTTGTTGACTTTAATGTGGTGGTGGGGGACACAGGACAATGAGATTTCTATGGGAATTCAGGGTTCCCAGAGATGAGATAACATAGGGCAGTGATGTTTAATAGTTTTGACATTAAAGACCTGTTGCTTCTATCCTGGAAAAGAGGAATTACTGAAAAACAACAGCCCAGGGCCAGTGGAGTGGCTCCCTTGGTTAAGAGCTCGCTCAAGAGTTCGAGCTCTGAGCAACAGCGGTTCGAGTTCCAGCCCAAGTTGAGCTGCAGCTGAGCTGCCAACAGGTGGCAGGATGGCTCAGCTAAAAAAAAAAAAGAAAGAAAAACAGCCCATGTTTAAAAATGTCAAATGCTAAAAATGTTTGAAACATTAATTCAACCCTAGTCCAAAAAATCTTCTATGTCTTATCAATATCGATTCAAAATTGGTTTGGTTTTATTTAATTTGTTTCCTGATCATTTTATAAAGAACCACATTTCCCAATGAATTGTTTCAACCTTTTTTTTTTTCCTCATCAGTGCAAGATGGCAGCATGTGCAAATCACAGTGTTTTCAGTGAGGAAAATAACTAAAGTACCCATTGCCAGAATGGGATCCATGGTACCTGGCGAGGAAAACGGAGTCCGGATTTTCCAGGTCTAATGAAACAAGTTTTACTGTGATCTCAGGAAAAAATTTTCTAAGTAGAAAAATGATTTTTTCTAATTAATTTGCTGGTGGCTTCAAGTCATTTCTGGGAGTAAAATTAACAGATGATAACACAACAATTAATGGCCTCCACCTCCCATTTTTAAGGAGAGTTGGAATACTGTGCATGATGGTGAATTTTGTGTGTCACCTTAGCTGGACCCCGTGCCCCAATGTGTGGTCAGATGCCCTTCTCGAGGTTTCTGTTGAGGATGCTTGCTGCAAGTCAGCAGACTGAGTAAAGCAGATTGCCCTGCATAACGTGGGTGGGAGGGCCTCGTTTAATCATTGGAAGGTCTTAATAGAATGGAGACTGACCTCTCTGGAACAAGGCGGGGCTCTGTGGGAGGGGACCCTCAGACATGAGCGGGCCTCCCGCCTGCTGGCCCACCTACAGAGTTCGGACTTGGCAGACTCCACAGTCCAGTGAGCCTATTCCTTATAATCAACGTTTTTCTCTGTATGTACACACGCTGTCCTCTCGAGCCACCTGACAAATGCAATGTGATTGCAGTGCTTTCAAATGTTGATGCCTTTGGTGAATTATAATGATTATCTGTCTTGAGGAATTGTTCTATTAATGTTTTAACGTTTCATAAATGGTTTCTTTAAAGTAATGAGCTAATCAATGGGGAGAAAGTCTCAAGAACCCCATGGCTGGAAGCATTTGCTCCACTATCCGACCACGCGGGAGAGAAAGGGCGATTTGTTTCCACACGAGACAGTGCAGGGGGAGGCCGGGCTCTGGTTTGGAGATGTCCCTGAGGGAGCAGAGCTAGGGAACGGCCCGAGTTTCCCTGCCTCCTGGTGTGCACGCCTGGCACAGTCTCTGGGACTGTGAACATAAGAAGGGAGCACTCCCTAATTGTGCTACGTCCCATGGCACCAGTGACCTCAAGACAGGGAGCATGTTGGGTGGGCCTGACCTAATCAGGTGAGGTAAGTCACGCGGAGGCGCCAGAGTTTGGGGCCATGGGACATATATGAAGTGCCCTTGCTGGCTCAGAGATGGAGGGGCCTGTGTGTCCAGGAAAGTGGGTGGCTCCTAGGAACTGAGAGGCACCCCAGCAATAGTCCACAAGAAGTGGGGACCCCAGTCCTATAGAAGCAAGGCACTGGACTCTTGTCAACAACAGGAATGAGCCCGGAAGCGGTTTCCCCCCAAAGCTGCCAAGCGCTCAGCCAGGCCCACGTGGTGATTGACGTCTGCGTTGTGATGCTCAGAGTGGAGGACCCAGCCCCTCTGGGCTGCAGCCATGAGCTGGGTTTGGAGCTGCTGCGAGCGTGGTAATTTGTTAGACTGCGGTAGAGGCTATTCTAGTTCCTCGTTTCTCTGGGCCCCTATCGCTCTTCTTAGGAGAAAACAATGCTTCCTGACATTGCCATTGCTTTTCGTCATGGATTGGGTCACGGATTTGAGAAATGGGTTTGGGCGTGGCGTGGGTCCTGGAAGTCCTCCCACCCTCCCTCTGCTCAGGCAGCTGTGGTGTCAGGTGTTTGGTGCTGAGTCGGTCACACAAGTGCTCTCAGCTCCTGTTTACAAAACATGGCTGAGGCTAGTTGCAGATGGCGTTGGTGTGGGGACTGAACGGTGTGGTGGGGGTACAGGTGAGGGTGAGTCCTCGGTCTCCGGGGGCTCAGGACAGGCCCTGCAGGCTCAGGTGGGCCTGGCTTACCATCTTCGCAGTTCCTTTCCCAGCTCAGTAACACGGTAGCTCTCAGCTCTGCTGGACGCGAGAACCTCGGCCTATTTTATTCTCCACGGTTCTCTGGGAAGGTCGTGCCACGGGCTGGACGCTGTGTGGCCCTCACAGTGCATGGCCCTGAAAGCAATCCCCTTTCCTCATGATGACGCGCAGGCCCCTCACATTCTCCCAGAAGCATTTAGTGAGGTGCTCCCTGTGAAGTGGGTTCCACCGAGGGAGTATCCGGTCCACGCCATGTGCTTCTTTGCCAAAAGCGATTCAATCGCTTGTCAATCAACCCTTCTGAGTAGGATGATTGTCCTGACTTCGCAGAGGAGGGAGCTATGATTCAGAGAGATTATGTAAGATCTTTGAGCACACAGAGTTAGGAAACTGACTCAAAAAGCTGGGTTTCCCACGGTCTTATGTCTGAGCCCTGGGCCCACGTGGAGCCCCACCGTGTGACTAGTGAGAAGCAGGCCCTTTGTGGAGGGAGCTGGGTCCCTGTCAACAGGGCCACACTTGTCACTCTGTGCCTCATTATCCCCCTACAAGTGGGGACAGGACAGGAGGAGTGAATGACTCCGTCAGTCACTGAGGGGCTTCATAGGGGACTTCTGAGAGACGGGTCAGGATTAAGTGAAAAAGAAAACGCCTTTCTTTACTCCTAACATAGCTGACTTTAAGCATCGCCAGTAAGAATTAGTGATATTTTAGACTTTTCTCCCAGGGCTTTTGCCAGTGTTGTAAGAAGTCCTCTGTTGAATCGCGACACTGGTCTTCCTTCCTCCTGGCCTCACAGGGTCCGGGGCTTCTGGTCAGACCTGCGTGTCCTGTGCACTTGCCTGGCCCGCATTTGCAGCCAGGCCTGGCCTGCCGGCCCTCTTCCTCTCTGTATCTGTGGGCTCTTCCTTGGGGGATGGGGTGCGCCAGCTCAGCAGATGCACATGGCTGTCTCATTGTCTTGCTGTGGAAGCCAGGGTGCTATGTAATAGTCTCCTTGTCTTTTCTGGCCAGGTTACCTAAGGTGGAAGCACTGTGAGACACCAGGTGTGAAGACCCTGTGCAATCTCACGAAGCTTCTGGACAAACTCCAGAAAGCGCAAAGCGCGGACATCTCCCTCTACACCTCGGGACACCTGAACCCCGACAATCTCTACAGGCCCCCGGAGACCGCCATACCTCACTGGCACAATGCCAGCAGACCAAAGGGGGAAAAAACCTTCAGAGCGAAAGCGCTGTCTGATAGGAGGAGGATCGCGCAGATGAAAGACGCTCTGGCTTATTTTACCATCAACACAGCTCTGCATCCAAACGACGCCCAGGACACACCACTGTTCCGGTACCTGCACCGTCCTGCACGTGTTCCCCACACTTCCACAGAGAACATCAGCCCAGAGGAGGCTCCGGGAGCAGAGGGTCCTCCCACACAGCGCAGGAGAGAGGAGCTCAGCTGGCCAGAGATGAGGGTGCTGAAGCTCAAACCAGCGGGGTCCAGTCGGCAGTGCATGAGGTCGCCCCCAGCCAAGGATGAATACCAATATGTCAGCTCCTACCTGGCTGGCGTCACGAAGGCAGACAAGTATAGGAAGTTCTTGTGTTTCCAAAAGGAAGTTCTTGCAAAGCAAGATCTGCTGAAAAACTATATCACAGGGAGCAAGGCAGCGATGGGCCATGAGCAGAAGCTGGCACAGGTGAGGAGGTCCTGTGATCTGTGGGCACACGTGCTGTGGTCCCCGGGGTCTGAGTATTGTGGGTGGGGCTTGTCCTCAGTCGCCTCATTTCCATGGGATGCAGATGATAAGGGTTTGGGTGAAATAAAAGAGGGCTAAGTTTAGAAACTGGTACGTTGGAGGTGATTTCATAATCAGAAGCATCGGATACTGTAGTGAGTAGATGTTCATGGGACAGCCGGAGCACCTGCCGACAGGGCTGCCTGGCTCACCGTGAGCGACTGGAGGGAGAGGGGCGGGAGCTGGCGTTTTGTCATGCAGGTGAAGTCTGCCTGCCTCGCCTGTCAGTCTTGCCCTTAGAGGGTGGAGATGTGTCTGTGAAGTGCTGCGGAGCCGATCCAGGCCTGTGAGTCGTGCCTGGTGGTGGAAGGTGAGACTGCAAGAGGTGAGAATAACGGTCTACACCTGAGATGAGCAAAACTCGGTGACATTTTTGGCCGAGAGGACTGAAGGGAAGAGAAAGACCGTGCAGAGCGTGAATCCTTGAATACAGGATGCAAGGGAATGAATACAAGAAAAAGAAAAAGACCAAAACCCTTGGGTGGGCAGGAAGTCAAACTCTGGTTGGAGGGGACCGGGTGTACCTCGTCTTATCCCTGAGCTCTACCGAGACCTAGTCCTTGGGCGCCGGGAGCAGTACCCTCTGATGAAAGTGCCCCCAGATTTCTGATTTTTCTGCCTGGGGAACTATGCGGAAAGGTAAGCCAAGACATCCTACGATGGGTGGGTTCTCTTTTCCCTCCAGGAGCTCCAGAGAGTGTGTGTGTGCGACCCTCAGCAGTTCAACAAGCTACAGGTCTTCGGAGAAGTCTTCGAAGATATTTGCAATAGTTCTTTGATATTTGGCGATCTCTTGAAGGAAGTTAAGGTAACAGAAACAGACTTTTCCCACCTAACAACTGACAGCCAGGCACGCTGTTTTGCACACATGACCTGGAGCCTCACAGAAATCCTGCCAAGTACCACGGTCTCCATTCCACAGACAGGGAAATCACAGCGACTCCGAGTAACGTGCCCTCAGCCCCGAGTCATTAGTGGGCCCCGTGGAATAAACACTCAGCTAGCTAACTCCAAAGCCCATAGTTTTCTGCTAAAGCTTCCCAATTATATGTACGCTTTGAACCATTGTACATAGGTGGCACAGAAACTTTTATAATCACGCATATGTAATTTTTATGAATCCTTATGCAATTAAACGTCTGTTGTGACATCATGATGAGAATGACCTTCATCTTGAAGCTGCATTGACAGTAGGTTCCTCACACAGCCTGCCGTTCTCCGCTTCTTAATGACAGGAATACGTAAAAGCAGGGATAGGGTGGCCTGTTCTCCAGAGAATGTCCCCATCCTTCATCTCAGGCAGGTCAGCAGGACCCAAATCCGTGGAGTTTCCCAGTGGCAGCGGGCCCTGCATGTACGCGTGTCAAGGCATTTTATGGTTCTGTTCTGAGGTGATTAGTAGTTAACACAAATAGGCTTCAAAGACGGAAAGACATTAGCATTTTAGTGTGTATGCTGTTTAATATACTGTAGGGATATTTTCTATTTTTTAAAATGATCTAAACTGACATCCTTAACCTTCATATTCGTCACACATGCAAAACAACTTAACATTGTAGCGCCAAGTCATAATATTTCATTTCGTGTGTGTAGGGTGAATATGAACTCTACATGGCCATTCTCCTGGCGTCCCAGCCCACAGAACGGTACCAGGTAACCATCGCACGCAAGTGTCCGAATTGAGCCTCTTTCCGCCTCCATCTCAAAGCCCTCTCCCAAATGGTTTTTAAGCTGTCCTTTATTGAATGTCAGCTGTGTATGAGTGAGTGTGTGTGATTACGTACATTACAAGGTCAGTTCTACCTTACTTCTTAGTCCAAAATGATATGTGTGCATTTTTTTCTTTGTTTGAGGATTTTTTATGCTACAGGAAAATAAGCTTTTGTTGGGCAGGATTAAGCACAGGCTTCAGCTGAGGGTCCGCCCTGTTCCTTACTTTCTGAGGTTGAATCAGAAAGGCACACATATGATTTCACTGATATGTGGGATATAAAACTGAAAGTAACAAAGGAACAAGACAAACAAATAAACAAAAACTCAGAGACACAGACAATAGTTGAGTGGTTACCAGAGGGTAAGGGGCAGGGGATGGCAGATGAGAGTAAACGGGGTCAAATATATGATGATGGAAGGAAAACGGACTCTGGGTGGTGAGCACACAATGTGATATATAGATGATGTATTACAGAACTGTACACTTGAAACCTATGTAATTTTACCATTGTCACCCCAATAAACTTTAATTAAAATAATAAAAGGAACAAACATGCTTGCATCTCAGTAAACACCAGAACTGAGAAACTCCCCAGGCCACGGGGCACTGGGCCCTTCCTTCTGTTCTGGAAACTGGCAGCCGTCACCTAAAGAGACAGCAGCTCTCTTTCTCCACATTTGAAGACGGCATTGCTTTAGATCCACGTACAGTGATTGAATTGCATGATTTCTCACTAATGTAGAAGAAATAATATCAGTGCTGATAATAATGTACTAGAAGGATTTTACCAGCAGGTCCTTTCTGCACACACACCAACAGTGTAACCTACACTTTTTAAGAAGTTTTAAAATTTCTTAGGATCACAAAAGCTTAAAATATTGCAAAAATATTTTACCCAGATCTTCATGTGACTAGTTCCCTGGATCTTCACATGACTAATTGGCCTCCCTCTGATGCGTCTCCCCCCATCTCAGGCCTCCCTGTTTACCCATTTTCACTTGCATTTATATATTGACTCAGGATAGCTCAAATACACTAATACAGAAAAAAGAAAATTCTCATCCTTCCTGTGTGTTTATCTCACCCGTGTGGCCTTGTCCTGCCTAGAATTTGCTGGATCATGTCAAGGGGTTGGAGAGGAGGTCCGTGAAGACAGCAGACATCAACCAGGCCAGGGAGGAGCTGAGGGCGCTTGTGACAGCCACCAAAGCAGCTGTGGCGCGTAATGACAAGTGAGGGCTCAACCATCTGATTCGATCTATGTTGGGTTTATACTACAGAGGGTGCTAAAAGAAAGTATACACGTTTTGAGAAAGGAAAAAACTATTAAAATTGTAATACTCAATATATACCGATAACAAAAGATGAATACAAGTCACGTGTGACTCCTGCAATTACAAGAGGTGCTCAAAGTGGTTCCCATCAGTGTCCTGACACTTCTGATGATGGCGAACTACTGCTTGAGCAATGCTGACCAAAGTGTCCACTTGTATACATTTTTTTGGCACCACTGGTATTTGACAGTATTTTAAAGCCACGTGACAATGATATATGTACATTTTTGTCCTGCATCATTGGGTGATCAAGTCCATCATCTGGCCTCCTTCACAAACCTTTACATGTGAACAGAATCTCTAGAGCTGCTGTTTCTATGGGGGGAGAATGTGGGGGCAATACAGAGGTGTAAATGATCTCTGTCTACACAGACTACTATAAAGAGAAAACAGAAAATGAGAACCTGAACAGGTGAGCTGGTGG